TAACTATACTTATTTATAATTCAAAAAACCGAGAACATGTTAGGTCATTGAAAGTAAATCAAAATTTTTCAGTTCAAAATGAAATATTTTAAAAATATTCAAAATTTTAAAATATTTATCTGAAATTAAATCAATCATTCACACATAAAAAACAGTAACAAATATGTCTTATTAATTAAAACAATTTAATTCCATTGAAAAAAAAAATCAAAATGTTATTAAGATGTTATTCATTATAAAAATGTACAAAAAAAAATTTTGTATACTTCTTATGTAAATTTTTTAAGGATAAAATGTATAAAAAGCCTACAAAATTCTTCTATTTCAAGACTATTTTCTATTGTAGATTGTCTTTCTTCGCTCGAAGCTTTAATGCACCTGACGTAAGCCATTTCTTCAATGGATTTTCCAATTTTTTTTTCATGCTCTTTGAAAGTTTTCCAATTCAATGTAGGAATATTTATCAAAAAGAGCCATTCTTTCAAATAGGTATTACCCATGCCTGCATTAATAGTGCCTGTGAAAAAAAAGTTGGTTATGCACCAGAATTTTGTTAGCTTATCAATATTTAAAAAACATTAATTCATAGTATGAGTACCTATTACAGCCTCTGTATTGTCAAAATGTTTATTCCTCTCTGATGAACTGTGCTTTTTATCTGTCTCGACATGTTGTACTTCTTTACGTTTTTCACATCTCACTGACAAAGTTGAAGCTAAACCGTGACGTTTTTCAAACAGTGTATTAGACAAAGATAAAACTGATTTGCAGTTTTTATGAATCATATCGTCTGTAAATTTGTGCAGATGAAATATTCATCGATCCTCTAGGTCAACAAACTTCGATTTGTCAGTAATCGTCGTGAAGAACTATTAAACTTTGTTTCGATCGATTTTCGTACACTTTTTTTGTCACACATTTTCCTTTCCAAAAAAATCTTCTTTTTTTTTATTTTTAGGCGCATCCTACTTATTTCATATGTGACTGAAAAGGTTATGCTTACATTCTGCCATCTGCACAGTGGTCGTGTAGATATATACATATATAGTTCATCGCCAGAGCTACCAACGTCGAAAACGCGAGAGAGAAAGGAAAAGAGAGAGACAGCAAACGCCCTCTATCGTTCTCTCACTCTTCAAGCATAGAATTCCCTTAATGTCTTCCAGCTTCAAATTTATAATGCTGCTTCATATCGCAAGCCTAAGAAGACAGGTGCGAAATTAACAAAAAAAAGGCAGATTCTAGGGCAGTATAATAATAGTGACCAAGGAGATCTTTATTCTAATGCTGTGGGATTTATACACAACAGTTGTAAAATACTGTTCTTATATATAATATAAGTCAACGAATATGATAAACATTTTTTTAGCATGACAAACAACATTTATTACAAAATTATTCTCATAACAAGTATTGCATAACACTTTGGACACCTCACCATAAAAAATGTTATTCAGCAGATGATAATACAGAAGAAAAACTGTAATGGGAATTATTTAATTGGAAAAGCTTCAGGAACCCCTTTGCCTATCGTATTATTCAGAAATGTAAAAATTAAATTTTTATATTTTATATCTGCACTAACATGATAAGAATTATTATTTTTCCATCCAGAACCTAAACTAATCTCAATTGAGTCTAACCTTCTATGCCACCTTCATGAAGAATAAAACGTGCATCATTGTCGTCACTATCGCTATCATCTGGGATCCCATACTCATTATAATATGTTCTCTGCAGAATTTCACTCTCTGTACTACTTATTGATTGTACATCTACACTGTCCTCATCAAGGTCAATAATGTCGCTGTGCCTATCACTTTCGTCTTCTTCTTCTCTCTCTTCTTGTATGTGCTCTTGCACCGGAGTAACATTAAGTCGAACAAGTGAGCGCACTTGCTCATCTCGTTCTTGTGCTTGAACTTCAGGTAATTCTTCAAGTACCCAATCATTTTCATTTCTTCTTTCCTCGGGCTCCTCAACACCTTCATCGGGCTCGGGTATTTCATCTAAAGGATGTTCTTGTGCGGGTGAATGTGGCTGCTCATCAGGATTTAGGTCAATTTGTACCTGCTCTTCTTGCAATGGCAATGGTTCAGGTACTACTTCCTCAACGACTACTGCATTTTGTATAGCTAAAGGTGGCCGTACTCGCTCTTCCACATTTTCTTCCTGGGGTTCACCATCAAAAGGCGGTTCATGAAGTAATTCTTATTCGTTATCTGATGTGTAATTATAATATTATCGTAACATTCGTATTTATCCAAAAAATATTACTATATAATCTTGTATGCTAATTTTGGAAAATAATTTTCGCCTAGTTGTCATTAAACGCACTTCTAAATACTACTACTATATATGAATGAGTATATATATAAATACATATATACATATGTTGATGTACGAATGTGCTTGCACGTGTGCATACATACATAAATATAAACGAATAAATGGAGCTTACAATTACATCTTATTTTAGTTGCATACAAATCTCACCTAGATGTTCACGTTCACGACTAAGATGTTACATGCACTGATACTTTTAACAATCTACGATTGTAACATACGTAAGATACAAAATGTATGCAGTTAAAAAGAAATTACGAAAAAGGAAAGATGGTGAAATTTTAAAATGGATAATAAAGAATACCCAACATTGCAGATTCGCGAGGTATCAGATTATACATTACACATTCCACATTTTGTTTTTAAAAAAAGCCAGTCCACAGATAATTTAAAATTAGAAATTTAGTTGTTTAAAATCTCAATAATTTCAAAGTTAGAAACGGGAAATGCGGTGATGAACATAATTTAAATATAATCGATAACATTAGGTGCATAGTTTAATATGAGATACACCCTTAAAAGGCTATTAAATGTAATTATTTTCATCATAGTACCTTCCATTTTTGATCTTTGCTCCTAAATTTAATATCGCTTGATAATTTAAAATATTAACTTCACTATAATATTGGCCAAGAACAATACCATTTTTAACTCTATCATAATCAATATGTTTATCGACTATTATTTCCAGTAAATATTCTGAAAACATAAATAATTGTGATAAGTGTAAATTATAATAGCAATAAAATCTAAGCGTGTAAACATATAGCTATTACATAAAATCACACATGCACTTTACATAGTTACATACAATAAAGTCAACCACTGAGGCACGAAACCAATTATTCTCATAACAAGTATTGCATAACACTTTGGACACCTCACCATCAAAAATGTTATTCAGCAGATGATAATACAGAAGAAAAACTGTAATGGGAATTATTTAATTGGAAAAGCTTCAGTTCACATTAGATGGAATGAAAATTGCCTACTATAAAAATTAAAGCAAGTTAACTCAAAAAATAAAAAAACAACGCAAATAACTAAAATAATAATGGCACTCTATTTCCCCTCAACGTTGGCATTATTGTATAACGACACGTGCTGTTAGTAACGCACGTAGGTACTGATAGTTAATTAGTTTTACTCATTATCTTTGTTATCACACTCTTTTTAAATGTTTACAAGATTCTACAAAAATGCGATTTACAACTTGTTAAAAATTAGCAAGTTACAGCTAATCAAATTNCAATTCTCAAACTTAACATTTTAAAAATAAATAAATTTCCATATTCAATTTTTCTCTATATCGTTACCAACATAAAAAATGCTCACTTTATCAACAAGTCCCCTCTGTTGGTTAGTAGCGAAAGTATAGCACCAAAGATTTATCGTTTTGGTTATATACGTTATACGTCGACGACACATTGACGTATTTATTACGTACTATTTCAAAAAAATGTAAGTACTGCATTTAAGTGGAGCGAGTACGGCGTGAGAAGGGGCCAGTCCTACACCTTAAAACTCTACACAGAGCATCTTACACAAAAAAGTTATACACAATTATTATTCAACACTATAAAACAATGTTTGCACACAAATTTTTTTTGCTGTGTAGTTGCACAATTGTTTGCTACACAAGTGTAGAGCTAAGTTTTAGGGT